TAATTATTTATGACAAAAGTCTATATAGGTCATCGCAATTTAACGGAATTGTAAATAATTTTTTTTTTAATAAAAGAAATTACAATTTAACAATGCAAAATTCTTTACTCGAAGGGGATTTGGAGGAGCGGGAGGAACATGCACGATAGCTGTATTGTATTTCTCTTTCAAATGTGTCTCGAGATATTAATTTCTGTTTTTTTCCAAAAAAAATATAAGTGCGATATAAATGAAGTGTGACGTTTGGATTTGGAAATCGAAAGCTGTAATAAGCAAGGGTCGCGTCAATAAGGTGCAAATTTATCGTGTCTCATGTTCCAGACGGAAATATCTGCGATGCGAGACCCGAGATAAGGATCGCGTCGTTATTCCCTTTCTTCGGCTCGAACACGGTCCTCGGCTTTTATTTCACGTCAAAAGCATCCTGGCGTGCAATTATCCTCTCGATGCCACGGCGTGTTTACCGAGGTGAGTGCAGCTCGTACTCACCGATAGCGATTACCACTTGGCTCTTGGGCGATGTGTAGGAGAGCCTCTTGATCTTCTTCGTGCCCTGGTTGAATATCCGTGATATACGATTGGTTTTCGTGAGGATCGCACTGTAGCATATACTGAGACAAAGACCGAGGCCGATCCTGAGGTATGTGCAATTCCAGGTGGTCGGTTTGCTCAGTATGACGAAGCTCATGCCGTAACACGAGAGAATGCCCACCAACAGAACGTAGCATAACTCGCGCCCAGATGCCATGATAACCGGAGTGCGATTGAATCTGCGGTTCGAAATACAGAAGAGAGAAGAATCGATGAGAGACTATGCCAAACACTTTGAATTTTAAGTGTCAAGCATTATAATCTTAATTAAGTTCTTTTAATATGCAGAAAAAATATTGTTCGTCGATTTTCAAGTATTTTAAATAGATTAAGTCACTTAACTAACATTAAATTGTAATAATATTTATGCGTAAAGTGATTTAGCATTTTTTTCTCAATTGTTATACTTATATTTTTTTTTGCGTATAATTTTTCACGATTCTGATGTTTTTTTTTAAGGGAAGAGGAGAATTTCTTTTAATTGCGTTAATTAATAATCTCGAGAAAGAAGACATAAGTACACGGGACTACAAATCAACATTTGTTATCATACTTTCTCAAAATGTTAAATTATATGATAGTTAATTTAAGTTAAAATTTATGTACACAGAAACTTCGCGGATTCAATAAATATGTATTAATTATTTTAATTTAGTATAGATTAAAAAAGAAAAAGTCGGGAATTTAAAAGTCTTTTTTGTATATCCGTATAGTGAAATGCAGAAAACCTTTTAGCCCTCTAATTAAGTAAGTTTAATAGGTCGCTAATTAAGCTTTCGATTAAATTTTCGCTTCGAAAGCATCGACTTTAAATCTTTTTAAGCACTCTTTTTCAGTGCTAATATTCCGTTCAACCTCATTATATTTTCATTGAAAAGAAAGATGTCGAACGTGTCAGATTCATTCATCAAATGCACATCGGAAAAAAGCCTCTTTGTATTACTTATATTTTTATTTGATAAAAATTGGTCTAATCGTATTACTCGTTAACGATAGAATATTTCAAACTAAATTTACAACAATATTTTTTGGCAAGAATATCAAGTGAGAGTTATTATCTATCACCGACCTTTGATATTATACACGCTATCATCAAAGTCCAAATTAAAATTTCATTCAAATAGAATCCACTTGAATTTCATCTGATAAATTTTATTCAAACGAAATTCACTCGAGCCCGTTTGAAAAAAAATAAGGTTTGCTAAAAAAAATCTAATCTATCATAACAGAACGTGATGAAGATTCGGCATGAAGAACAATAATAACACGAAAATACAATACCCACCGTATGAAAACGACGGTGGTGAAGAGGGTGCTGAGGATCCCGATAGATGCAAATATCAGCGGCACCAGCGCCCAGGGACTTGTCCAGGGTATAACCTCGGCGGTGAGTTTAACGCAACCTGTCATCGTGGGATTTGGTGCATATCCGGGATTGCAATTTTTGCACGTGTCGTTGTAAACGTAGGCGTCCTCCCGACAGGCGACGCAGCTCCAACAGCAGGGTTCCTATTGAAAATTGTTGGGTTTTTAATCATTCGTTGGCATCGCCAATTGAGACCCAAAGTAATTAACAATTAACCGCCTGTGTTGAATCAATGATGAATAATGAATCTTGCAGTCACGATGGGTCATTGATAACCCATGATGATATATTTATAATCGTTATTATTAATGTAACGCTATTACAATAGTGCTATATATTTTATTGATTTATTGAAGGAATACGCGGTATACCGGGATTAAATTCTGTGTCGTATCTGCTGAATTACTGAATTCAAAATCAAATCAAATTTGAGCAATTTGCT